ATTCTTAAGATTGTGCATCACCGTTTATCCAGGCATCTCTTGCCTCTAATAAAGAAGCACGTTCCTCGTGGAAGCTCAATCATTTCTGATGGGTGGAGGTCTTACCGCCGTCTTCAGATGAAGGTTACGATCACCTGACTGTCAACCATCAAGATTTTTTTGTCGACCCTGTTACAGGTGCACATACACAAAACCTGGAGAGATTTTGGGGTATTTGCAAGTCAACTATCTGGAGACAAAGAGGGAACCGCACACAAAAACTGTTGAGGGATCACTTAGATGTAATTGAGTGGACTTATTGGCGTGGAAACCATCACAGTAACGGAACACTTGGAATGCTTTTGCATGACATTAGGAAAAAATATCCAGTATGAAACCTGTCTGAAATGTAGATGCAGATATCAAGTTGATATTTATCCTACCAGTCAAAGGTTTTGACACACTAAATGTACTGTTACCTCCTAGAAAAAGATTATTATCATGGACATGAAGGCCGAAGGCCAACTCCTTCCCTTGTTAAAGTATTAAAATGCAAGTGAGCTTCTTTGTTCAGTTAAAATTCTGTTATATTGTATTTGAAAAGTGAAATATTTGTGCACAGGGGAAATAAATCACCTGATGCAGTAATTATAGAGCAAGTTTAGGCTGTGAAAGTGCAATGTTTGTACAGTTCAGGCAGATTTTCAACAATAGAGTACCTATGACCTGCTTATACATTTGATACCATATTATATGACATGTTTATATACACTGATACTTGTCAGTGTTTGAATTTTCAGGCAGACCCCATTACCTGTAAGTTAAACTACACAGCAAGTTCAGGCAGTATTTGTTGTCAGCCTTGGGAAAACCTGAACCAGTGGTTTAATAAATGAGGTATTTGTACTTGTGCTGTCTTTGTTATTCTACCACTGAGTGAGAGGGAACCTATAGATAGATAGATCCATTTTTTTCAAAGGTGTAACCCATCACTTGTTCATTGCAGTAGTTATGTGCTATAATAAAGTCCATACTAAGCAAAGCTTATTGAGATCGTAATTCATATACAACAACTTCCTTACTACTAATAAGCAATAATTCTGAGGTTATTGAGGGAAAACTCTTAGTTAATGGCTTACTGGTTGTATAATAAGGCCATGCAGAATAAGGCATTAATAAGTACTTAATAATGACTAATTAAGAGCCAATATGTTACTAATTTGCATGCTAATAAGCAACGTATTAATGGTGAATAGTTGTTCCTTAATATAAAGTGTTACCGGATTATTTTGTTAAATAAAATTATGAAATCATATAAATCACACAAACTGTACAGTATTATCTTTATGTATTGTTACATGTTATAGTTTATAATGTTGCTAATATGCATCGATCTGTTCCAATCGTTTTATCAAATTTGGTTGTAATGAAAGACATCCATAAAAATGTAACAGAAATCATTATTTATTGCATAGGACAGTAGCTTGATGTCTAGGGTCAGATGTAACCCGTTTTAAGAGCCGCGAACCGAACATCCACTTCCTTCCGGTTTGTTGTTGATAGCGTCCATAGCAACCACCATAGCAACAGTAGAAAACGTAATATCCCAACGTTTTTCTAGCGAGACCTCAAAGAATCGTCGTAGAAACAAACAAACTAAAGATCATAAACAAAAACCGAACAAAGATTATGAAGATACAATGTACATTTGTCGCCAGAAAGGTTATCAAGGGCAGCTGTGGCTCAGTTGGTAGAATCGTCGCCTCTCAACCGGAAGGTGTCCTTGGGCAAGGATGTGTCCTTGGGCAAGACACTTAACCCTGAATTGCTCCCACTGCTTCAGTGGTGTATGAATGGGATTAGTTACTTCTGATGGATGATTCTACATAGCATATCACTACCATCAGTGTGTGAAAGGGTGTGAATAGGTGGGTGTGACCTGCGGTGTAAAAGCGCTTTGAGTAGTCGGAAGACTAGTAAAGTGCTATTTAAGCTCAAGTCCATTTACCATCAAAACGACACTTAAGCCTCAAACTATCTTAAAATATTGCATTTTCCACCGAAAATAGAAGGGATGTCCGCCATGGGGAAAACTGGGCAGTCACGTGACCTGAGGTATGCCTATAAAAAAGAATAGGCAAAAGGAAACGTTGGCATGTCACAATTTTAGAGCCCTTATTGTGAAACTAATACGTTTTGCGTTGTGGACCAACGTAGGTATTACACATTTTGACATGAGACTTGGTTGGGGGGGAGGGTCTCCTTATTCAGTTGTATGATGCAGGCTAGGCGTTAGAGGAAGGATGGTATATTGGATTAAAGATTTTTTAGAGATTAACGTTATCTAGCTGTGCAAATTCAGAAAGCATTGAACAGTGTGGAGGATTGGGCTGATAAATGGGGATTTAAAATTTCAGTACCCAAATCAAAGTTTAGGATATTTAGAAATAAGAGACATGTTCCTGATTTAAATATTGGTATATATGGAAATCCACTTGAGAGAGTTAAGGTGTTCAAATGTTTAGGTGTGTGGTTGGATGAAAAGGCAACTTGGAGTCATCACACAGATAAAATGGTCAGTAAATGTGAAAAGATTATCAATGTCCTACGGAGCCTATCTGTATAGTGACTGGGGAACAGAAAGAGGAACCTTGCTAATGATATATCAAGCAATGATAAGGCTAGTATTAGATTGTGGTTGTGTAGTGTTTGGCTCAGCAGCTAAATCTAACCTCATTAAACTAGACCGTGTTCAAGCAAAGGCCATGAGAGTGTGTTGTGGAGCTTTTAGAACAACTCCCATCTCTGCTCTTCAGGTAGAGATGAGAGAGTCACCATTAAGGATTAGAAGCTTGCATTATTGGTTTAAACTAAACCATTACCTCAAACAGGATTTCTCAGCCAAGTGTCTCCTCGAAGATTCCTGGGAGTTTGCAAGAAGAGAGGGAAAGGCTCATTTCTTTAGTGACATCAAAAAACTTGCAAGGGATATTAAATTGGATGCTCGTAGTGTGATGGGATGTGTGTGGGCTCCTGTTCCCTTCTGGTTCCTTCCAGAGCCTCAGGTGGATTTTACACTGCTGGATTTTATCCATGAAGAGGATTCCAGAGTCTCAGGTGATACCATTAACCAATGTGTACAGCAACTAAGTAGGAATCACTTACAGATATTCACTGATGACTCTCTGGATCCAATATCAAGTAAAGCAGGTTTTGTAATTCATGTTGCAAATCAAGAAATCTGTAAAAGCATCCGTATCTCTAATAGAGTGTCTGTATTCACTACTGAACTAAAAGCAATCCTATGGGCTGTGAGCTGGATAGAGGAGAACAAGAGAACAAGCTCTGTCATTTGCTCTGACTCACCAGCAACTTGAGAGGAGATTAAAAATGGGACATCAAGGGCTCGCCCGGATTTGATATGTGAGATATTGTGCTTGTTGTGTAAAATAGAGAGGATGGGAAATAATATTCTCTTTTTATAGGTCCCTGGTCATTCAGGGGTGGATGGAAATGAAATAGTGGATACATTAGCAAAAGAGTCTCTTAAAAAGGAAAATATAGATTTAGACATATTGTTTGGAAGACCAGAATGTTTTAGTATTATTAAAGAATATGTAACTAATGAGTGGCAAAAGGTGTGGAGGGAAGAAGCAAAGGGAAGATCAGATTTTTCTTTGTAAGAATCCGTGCAGGGGGGAGGTTACATGCTGGTAATAACGACGTTGACGTTGTTTGGACCACTGTGGCTGAGCAATTTTTTAAAAATATTATAGGCAAACATCCAGATGGACTATGCTCATGTGGGAACTCAGAAACTGTATCACATCTATTTTGTTTGCTTGTCAGAGGTATAGCAGTGAAAAGAGAAGAAATGTTGGAAGAGTTTTCAGATTTGGGACTTCAGACTTTTTTTGCTGAAATCAGTGTTTTCTTTTAGAAGTGAATTCAAGTAAGTGGGACGGGCTCTATTGTATTTCTTGAGGACCACTGGTCTATATCACAGAATTTAACCCAAGATGAATAAGTTCATTTGAATTACAGAGGAGGGCAGCATTACGCCTTGTAGCGTACAGCCTGCCAGAAATGTATTAGATTGGATAATGTCAGAACCTGATGTAGATTTGGCGCTTTTATCCGCTGTTCAAGATAAGAAAAGTGATGTAAGTTTCTGGGTTGATAAATATCTACATGAGTCAATGGAGTCATTTTTAAAGATATTTACTGATGGATCCAGAAACCCAGAGAGTGGAAAGGCAGGTTTTGGGGTGTATGTGACACAATTAGAAATAAAATGTGTCACCGAGTTAATCATTTTACATCTGTTTTTACAACGGAATTATTAGCAATACATTGGACATTGTACTGTGTCGAAGATGTCAAACCAGATAAAGTAGTGATTTGTTCAGACTCAGCTGCAGCCCTGATGTCCTTAAGAGGAAGGAGATCTACATCTACTTGAATGACTTTGTTTGGAGTTGAAAAACTGAAGTGTGAAGTTCGATTAGTCTGGATTCCTGTGCATTCTGGGGTCATGGGTAATGAAGTTGCAGTCAAGATTGCAAAATCAGCTTTAAATCGAATTAATACAGATGTGAATGTAACTCGACTGAGGCTGGGTCACTGTGGGTTAAACCACTGTTTACACACTATAGGAAAACATCCCAGTGGACTGTGTGAATGTGGAAGTCCTGAAACAGTTATACACATATTATTACAATGTAAAAATGACACCTTACAAAGAAAGGCATTATTTAAAATGTTTAAATGATTGTCTGACGTGGGGATAACTTGTTTTTCAGTTAAAACATTGCTTGGTCAATATGAGAACCACCACTTAATTGCAAAAGCAATTATTAATTTTTACATGCTAAAAAAGTGTTTTTAAGAATCTAAAGTTATGCTTTGTAGAATGACTAGTTCCCGTCTACCTGTAGGGGGCAGTAATACGCCTAGTTGCGTCTAAACTGCCGGAAAAATTACAAGAAGAAGAAGAAGAAGAAGAAGAAGAAGAAGAAGAAGAAAAAAGCAGTAAGCAAGCAGTTGTAGCTTTGCTAATCTTGCAGGTTATCATAGTAATGTCAGAAGACACGTAGCATTGAGTTTTCCTTCTGTGACTCTTGGATGTGTGTCAGATGTCCGGGTTTCAGGATCTTAGAGATTTCAGACGGCGGCTGCTCGCTGCGGTTATCAGAGATATATCAGAAACAACATGTGGATACGACAAAGAAAAGTGCTGGATGTGATTTTAACACCTGAAATCAAGCTGCAGAGAGCAGGTAGGTTTTCTTTCCACTGCTGGAAACGTGTTTCCTGCTCATAGCCTTTAGCTAACGACGCACACAGCACAGTGTTAGCCGCAGCTAGCTCCTGCTAACAACATCATTGACTTTATTTAAAGACTCTTTAGTGGATGTTGTGGAAGGATTATAATTAATGTCTGAAAGAGCTTAAATGACATAAACTTTGAGACACATTTAATGAACTTGTACATAAACAATAGTTGATGTTACTCCAATTCTAAGAATAGGGATGACGGCATCTGCCGGGCCTCACTGTTTTGTTTCCCTCTTTCAGGCCCCACCTCCACAGTGGAGACAGATCTTTACAATCACTGCCCAGATGTGATTTGTGTCGTTCGTGAACAATTCGTTTGAAAAGACCGAATCTTATGGTTGAGCGAACTGAACCGAATCACCGACTGAAAAGAGTAGGTGTCTCCTCTGTCCTCTGTCCTCTCTCCCGTCTCGTGTCTCCCTCTTCTCTCTCCTCTCTCCCGTATCTCTCCTCTCTCTCCTCTCTCCCGTCTCGTGTCTCTCTCCTCTCTCCCGTCTCGTGTCTCTCTCTCTCCTGTCTGCTCTCTCCCCTGTCCTCTGTCCTTTCTCCTCTCTCCCGTCTCGTGTCTCTCTCTCTAGACTGTAAGTGGCGTGCCAAGTAGAGTGAGTCGCTCCGGCCTCTCCCTCTCCCCTGGTGCTGGAGCCTCTGAGGCATTGGTCAGTGATTGGATTTGTGTCCTGAACTGAGCTTTTTATAGCTGCTGTCAGTTTGCAAACGGCTTATTTATCCAACTTAATTTCACTCAGCTGACTGTTTTAACATCCACTGTCTCGTGTCTCTTCAGACAGTAGGGCGTGCCACGTAGACTGTGAGTACGCAGGAGTCCGGCTCTCCCTCTCCCCTGGTGCTGGAGCCTCTGAGGCATTGGTCAGTGATTGGATTTGTGTCCTGAACTGAGCTTTTTATAGCTGCTGTCAGTTTGCAAACGGCTTATTTATCCAACTTAATTTCACTCAGCTGACTGTTTTAACATCCACTAACAACAGTCTCAATTGGATGGTGTTTCAGTACAGTAGGGTTGGTGATTCACACGTTGACTGAACTGTAGTACTGCAGGAGTCCTGATTCTCTCTCTCCCTCTCAGTCAGTTAGTGATTCATACACTGAGCGTACTAGTACAGTGAACAAGAACCCTTGAACTAAATGTTCGGCTGTGTTTCAGCTTATTAAATTCTGATTCACAGGCAGAGCTGCGGTGAAGTACTGATCGATTCAGTGAACGAAGCTTACAGTCTCTCCGGGAAGTTGTGATGTCGCGATCGCAACAATTAACGCAAATTTAACCAATCCCTGTGAATTCTGGCAATTTGCAATTTTTTCCAATCACTACAACCTTTCTGCAATTTTTTTTATTTTTTTTTTATTTAAATTTTTATTCAGAGCAAAATTTAAACATGTTTTGCAGCTAGTCAAAGATACAAACGTTTTTCAGAAAGTAAAGAGATACAATAAAACAGGTATAAGACACAGTTGTCTAAACATTCTTATAAAATGAGGTGGTAATAGTGGTGAGACAAATAAACATTTTGTAAAAGAAAAATCAAAGCTTGGCAAAGCCATTGTGGGTAAAAGTAATATACCGGGATGGGTAAGCGAATAGGATTGTTGTCGTATACATATAAATACATGTACATGTCCCCGCAAACATAGATAAACTTAAACATATACCTACACACATACAAACCCACGCACCCAATCAGGCAAACTGATAAGTCAGTGAAAGAAAGTAAATATACTCTCTCAAAAACGTATACCCAAGTTTACGGTCATAAATCTTCACATACTGAGAAATGCTCAAAACAAAACAAAACAAAAAAAATAAAAATAATATATATATATATATATATATATATATATATAGATAAAAATTGAGAAACTTATAAAAGTGGTCAGATGAATTAAAGTAAAGTCTTAATGAGGGGGGGGGGCGTCTAGGCCTAGCTACTTGCATGTGTTCCTGGACCAGGAAAACTTGTATTGACAACAATAAACTATGTACACTTTAGTACCTCAAAAAAATAAAAAACAAAACGAAAGCTAGTAAACACTTAGGGGGAAGAGGTGTATTAGGTCCATATTTTGAGATTGGTTGTAGTAGGATTTAATGAGGATGTATAAGTGGTCCAAGGTGTCCAACAAGTTTTAAACTTCTGTTGTTCCAGTCGTAAAATAAATGTGAGTTTCTCCATCACAAAAATATTATGGATCATAAATCAGTACATCAATCCAGTTCTCAACCGTGGGGGCGTCTGTTGACATCCATTTTCTGTTGAGAGCTTTCTTGCTTGATATCAGTAGAATATTAAACAAGTATTTTTTGGAAAAGCCCTCAATGCTGTCTGGCTGCAGACCTAGATAGAGCGTTGCAAAATTGAACGGGATCGGCACTTTAAAAAACCTTTTCCATAACGATTTTTAACTTGAATCCAGTAATTCTGGAGCAACGGGCATTGCCAGAATACGTGGTAGTGGTTTGCCTTTTTCTCCCCACAAGACCTCCTACAGGATGTGTTTTTATTAACAAAATTATTTTGTGCAGGCGTTTTAAAGAAACGTATCAAATTTTTCCATCTGAACTCTCTCCAGGACAGGGCAGATGTACTTTTCCATTGTTGTTTGTGGAGTTTCTCCCATACTTCAGCATTTAATGTAAGATTTCCTTCCATTTCTCACTTTTCCTTTACGTAACTTGTGTTGTCCCCATCCAGCTCATTCAGACCATTGTACAACTTAGAGATGTTTCTAAGGCCTGGATCTGAGTCGTAGGCCTTTAAGAAAACCTTCAAAATGGCAGAATTCATATTGACTAAGTCATCCTTTCTTATTAATTTATCAGTATAATGTCTAAGTTGTAGAAACCTGTAAAAGTCTCCGTTTGTTAGGCCATGATGATCTTTAAGCTCCTGAAAACTCTTAAAGCTGCCGTTTATATAGAGATCGCTGAATTTTACCAGGCCGTTATCCGCCCATTTTTTGAATGTTGTGTCAGTCTTATTAGGTATGAAATTGGAATCATAGGCTATCCATCTCAACAGCTTGAATGGTCCCTTGGCTCGATGTACTGTCATCACATGAAACCAGGGTTTAAGAGAAGACTTTATCCAAGGGTTGGCCTCTTTTATGTGTTTAATTAAAGCACTGTCCCCAATAACAGCTTGCAGGGGAATATCACTCGATAACAGGCATTCTATTTCTTTCCACCGTGCTTTATAGGATGGATTACACATCTCAACCAGGGTTTTTAGTTGTGCAGCTCTATAGTAGTTTCTGATATTCAGGAGCGAAAGGCCACCTTTCTCCTTAGGTAACTGGAGGGTCTTGAACCTTACCTGAGGTTTCTTGCCCTGCCAAATAAACCTTGAAATCATTTTGTCAAGTTCTAGGAATTGTCCGTTTGGAGGTTCAGCTGGGATGGTTTGAAACAAATATAGAAGTCTGGGTAAAGTGTTAATTTTAATGGCTTCTACTCTTTGTGCTATACTCAGAAAGGGCAAAAGACCCCACCTCGACAGGTCCGATTTAATTTTGGATATTAAGGGGTCATAATTCAATGGTAAAAGTTTTTCCAAGTTTTTTGGGATGTTCACACCCAAGTGTCTCATTGCTTCAGAGTACTAGTTTATTTTAAATGTCTCTTTAATAGATTGATTAGGGATGTAGTTAAAAGTCAAAACTTTTTGTGAGTATTTAGTTTATAACCAGATAAGGACCCATAATCTGTGAAGGTTGAGATTAATTCGGGGAAGGAGGTATTAGGATGCCCTAAATAAATTAAAATATCATCTGCAAATAACAAAAAAAATTGTTCTCCCTGGCTCATCCTGATTTCGTGTATTTTCTCATTTAGTCTGATCCATTGACTTAAAGGTTCAATGAAGAGCGCAAATAAAAGTGGGGACAGAGGGCATCCTTGCCTGCAACCTCGTTGTAATGCAAAGTTGTTTGATAGGGGACCATTAATTCTTATCTTTGCTGTTGGTCTGTCATATAATGCTTTAATTGTCATAACAAACTTTTCATGGAAATTGAACCCGAACAACACTCTATACAAGAAAGACCAGTCTACAGAGTCAAATGCCTTTTCGGCATCTAATCCTAGCATTACAGCTTCTATATTACTACGCTTTATATGGTTAATTACATGCAGTGTACGTCTGATACTGTCCCGGGTTTGTCTCTGTCTAATAAATCCCGTCTGATCTAAGTTGATGATGTCTGGGAGTATTGTTTCTAGTCTCTTGGCTAGAATAGAGGCGAAGAGTTTGTAGTTCTGGTTTAAGACGCTAATTGGCCTGAAGTTAGAACATTCCAGCCTATCCTTCCCTTCTTTTGGTAATACAGCAATAACAGCCTCGCGCCAGGATGGAGGAATTTCCCCCTCTTCAAGCACCCAGTTGAAGGTCCTTAATAATAGTGGTATTAAAGAATCTTTAAAGGTTTTGTACCACTCTGCACTGAATCCATCAGAACCTGGTGATTTGCATGTTTTGAGTTTTGATATTGCATATTCAAGCTCTTTTGCTGTTACTTTTGCTAACAGGGCTGCATTCTGGTCGTCTGTAATTGTAGGAAGTTTTAGTGAGTTAAGAAGGTTGTCTGTACTCATGTTTCCTTTACTGCATTTTTTGGAGTAGAGGTTTTTATAGTATAATTCAAAACAGCTTTGGATTTCCTGAGTTTTGTGTTTTGCTTTTCGTTATCAGATCTTTAATTTTAAATATAACTCTATCTGCTTGCTGTTTCTTTAGTTTGTAGGCCAAGTATTTGGTAGACTTTTTTACCTACCAATTTCGTAGTATCTTTGTTTCAAAAATACCAATTTCTTCGCAATTACTTGTGAGTGTAGTTCATTTATTTGGTTTTTAACTTCTTTAATTTTGTGAGTAGTGTCCGGTTCAGTATTGTCTTTATTTTTTCTTTCTAGGTCAGTCAATTCTTTTTCCAAGTCAGTCAGTTTTTTTTGTCTGTTTCTTCAGGAGAGATGACTTGGCAATAATTTTACCTCTTATAACTGCTTTATAGGCATCCCAAAGTATAATTGGGGAAACCTCCCCATTGTCATTTTCTTTTAGGTATGTCTGTATATCTCTTAGCATTTCTTGTTTCGTTGGTCCTTTGAGTATGCTTGCATTCAATCGCCACAAAAAACAGTTTGTTCTATTCTTAATGTCTAATTCCATATACACAGGGCTATGGTCAGATAGATCCATCAATCCAATTTTACAATTACTTATTCTACCAATATCTTTATTAAACATAAAAAAAATAATCAATCCTGGAGTAGGATGAGTGTGGGGAGAAGAAAAGAAAATGTAGTCCCTTGATGTAGGATTTAACTCCCTCCAAACATCACAAATTCCCATTTCTTTTAACAACCCTCTCATTTTCCTACTAATTGAATTATTTGGATTACTGTTATTTCCTGAGGCATCTCTCATTGGATTCAGTCGTAGGTTGAAATCACCACCACAAATTATTATACCTTGTGCTTTTGCGATCAATAAATCAAATATATGTTTATAAAACGCCCATTTAGCCCCTGGAGGGGCATATACATTTAGCAGAGTGAGCTCTACACCACCTAATCTTCCAATAACCATATTAAATCTACCTTCTTTGTCTTTGATGTCAAAAAGTTTTTCAAAAGATAATTTTGCAGATATTAGTGTTGCTACACCTCTTCTGCGTCCTGACTTATATGATGATGATGACACCAGGTTGAAGCCCTGTCTGCTAAGTTTAGTATGTTCTTCAAAGTCTAAGTCAAAGTAAACTATTTCTGCTTTTTCTTTTCTCATTTTGTTAAAAATGTTGCTCCTTTTTACGGGATTGAGGACACCTTTTACATTGTAGGTAACTACTCTGACAGGTGTTGTTTGCTCAGCCATGTATTTCTGGATTGCAGTGACAACACAGAACGTACCTTTCCCCCTTTGCTACTCGAACAGACACAAAACAAAAACACAACAGAACAGTAGAACGTTTAAATGTTTCGAATAAGAAAAATGAAACTTCAAGTATTGAGGTCTTATTTATGACCCTAAAGGAGCCGCGATGGATTGACGGCTCAGAGGGATTTTCTACGCTCCGCTCAGGTTGTGGAGAGCCCTCCTCTGTTAGTTCCATACAGTGCTTGCGTCAGAGACCCTTAAAAGAACAGTGTCTTTGACAGGTCCCGGGGAAGCACCCATAAGTTTTTGCATTGCTATTTATTTCACTACATCACAATAGTAAAAAAGACAAGCCCATATACAGGCTAATGAAACTCCTCACACGCCGTGCATGGTCCTGTGTAAAAGTCAATCTTTTCTGAAAGCCTCCAATTTCTTTTTATATCCCATTTGCTGAGTTTCTGTTGGTTTTTCTCCTCCCAATGCCCTAGATGTGTGCCACATTGAAGATTTAATCCTGTCGGACCAACTCGCGGGTGCTTTGAACACAGCCACCGGGAGTCCGCGTCTCGCCATATCCTCAGCTGCGGAGTTGTACACACGCGTCTCCTCCTCATAGAATACTCTCATCCTAGCCGGGAACGGGGTTTGAAATCGAAGTTTCCTCTCTCTAAGGATCCTCCGTCGTATTCCCGACGCTTCTTAAGGACATCTGGGGCATAGTCATGGTCGTGTATCACCCTTCTCTCCTGATGCATAAACCCTTTTTTCTGCCAGGCCATCTTTAAAGTTTCCTCTTTAGTTTTGAAACTTGCAAACTTGACCACTATTGATCTTGGGGTGGACTCTGGTGGCGGTTTTGGTCCCAGGGATTGGTGTGCTCTTTCGATCCTAAGATCTGTGGTGGCAGGAATTTCCAGCTTCTCTCTTAGCAAACCCTCTACGAAAGTGATCATCGATTCCGAGTTATCTTCCGATCCTTCTGTTATGCCGTGCAGTCTAATGTTGTCCTGTCTGGCACGACCCTCTTGGTCCGAGAGTCTGGCCTCCAGATTCTCTTGTACTTTTAGCATCTCCAAAACGGCTTCTTCAACTACTTGTATTTTGTCATCTGTTTCTGAGATTCGGAGTTCGGCATCATCAATTCTCTTGTTAGTAGTTTTATTGTCTTCTTTAATATCTCGGAGAGAGACCTTGTTTTCACGCCAAAAGTCCCTCAGTTCCTGGAGTATGGTCTGCAGGTTAGCCATTTCGTTAGCTTGTTGCGGAGCTAGCCCCTCCTGCTCCTGGAGTTCGCCGTCACCTTCCTCGTCTGCAGAATTTTTGTTTGCTAGAGAGAACTGTTCTTTAGCATGCACGGCAGTTTTTCATCTTCCCCCTCTCATATCCTCAACGCCTTATTCATATTTCGCGATTTTCAATCAATTTAAAGTGCAAAAAGACAGCGTTTTAGACGTAGGGTCAGGGAGCTCTTAAGTTACACTGTTACCCTCATGGCCGCTCAACCGGAAGTCATCAACCTTTCTGCAAATTTGACCAATATAAATACTATCCCCCGCGAGTTTCACCAACTATAGAAGTCCCCCGTGAAAACGGTGAGCCATACGTCACCAAAGTTTGGTGACCATTGACCAAACTTGATTCCATGCAGATGCAGACATGTCTGACACATAAACATTGTACATTTACCTACAAAAAGGACCGTGCTAGGCAATCCCTGTTGGGCCGATGTTCTGCACGGAAGCAGAGGTAAACTGTTTTGAACCCCGTGCAGTGTTCGACATCGATCTACCTCAAAACACACCAGGAGAATGACTGAAACACACGGACAACATACAAGACAAATCACAGTGACAAGTGTGTGTGTGTATTAATGAAAATAGTTAGGAATAAAAAGTTTCAAAATGTTTGAAGAAGTTTAAAAGCTTAAGGCAAAATATTAATTTGGATATGTAATGAAATCAGATGTGTGTGAGAGAGAGAGACGTTGTACCTGAGCCTTGACTGACTTTATTGACCTGACCTGGAAAGTGATTGAGTGAGGCTGTGAGGGCTCCAATGGTTAAATACAAATGGGACAGCACTTTGCAACTTCTCTGTTACCATGACTACATGATGTAGCAAAAGCTTATTTTATGTTTTTTTACTTTACTCACTCAGCCATGGCGCTTAAAAAAAGCTCAACTCAATATAGGCATATATATAAATGTATTCGTTGTGGGATAAATAAAGGTTTATCTTATCTTATAAATATAATGAGACTAATATGCTGTCTGTCTCTCTTGTTCACGTTTATAGTTCACATTGTCGTTCAGGCAGTTTATGAGATTGTCATTAAAGTACACCTGACAGCAGTCCCAGCTATGAAGACCACATTTCTAACTTTTGTAAACAATCCTCTAGTATTATAGACTGATAGAGTGGTGGATTTTAACATCAGTTTGATTTTTGTTCACTGTGTCCTGCAGCTGTTGGTGAGTAAAGAAGAGCTTCCTCCTGAGCAGTAGGAGTGGAGCCACATTCTGGACCAGGAGGACCCTGAGCCCCCACACATCAGAAGAACAGGAGAACCTGTGGATCAGTCAGGAGGAAGAACAGCTTCAAGGACTGGAGGAGGCTGATACCACCATGTTCCCATTCAGTCCTGTCTCTGTAAAGAGTGAAGATGATGAAGAGAAACCTCAGTCCTCACAGCTTCATCAGAGACAAACTGAACAGATGGAAACAGGAGTTGATGGAGAGGACTGTGGAGGAGCAGAACCAGAGAGGGACTCAGATCCAGAGAGATATTTACAACCAGAGACAGAGGTCAAGATTGAAGAATCTTCAGAACCAGAGACTGATGACAGTGATGATTGGACAGAGAGGATAGATAATCAGCCAGGGATAAACTCCACCAAGAGACTGAAGTCTGATAATAAATCACATAGCTGCTCTGAGTGTAGTAAATATTTTAAAAATAAAAGGAATCTTACCAGACACATGAGAATTCACACAGGAGAGAAACCCTTCAGCTGCTCTTTTTGCAGTAAAGGATTTAACCAAGAAGGGCATCTGTCCAAACACATGCCGGTTCACACAGGACAGAAACCTTTTATCTGCACTTTCTGCAGTAAAACATTTAAACATAATTCAAGCCTGACGCTTCACATAACACATCATAGAGGGGATAAACCCTTCAGCTGCTCTGTTTGTGCCCAAGGATTCTCTTGGCGTACACAGTTAAGAAGACACAAGTGTGTTGAAGCTTTGGAGCGTCTTCAAAACCAAACTGAGGAGAACAGAGAGGCAGAAACAGGAGCTGATGGAGAGGACTGTGGAGGAGCAGAACCAGAGAGGGACTCAGATCCAGAGAGACATTTACAACCAGAGATTGAGGTCAAGACTGAAGACTCTTCTGAACCTGAGACTGATGACAGGGATAATGATTGGAAGGAGCCCAGAGAACATCAGTCAGGTTTAGACTCTGTGGGATACTTGAAAAAGAGACTGAAGATTGATAAGAAATCAAATAGCTGCAATGAGTGTGGTAAAATATTTAAAAATAAACGGGATCTGACCCAACACATTAGGATTCACACTAGAGAGAAACCCTTCAGCTGCTCTGACTGTGGTAGAAGATTCAACTATAAGCCTACACTTAAATTTCACACTGCACATCACAGAGGGGATAAACCCTTCAGCTGCTCTGTTTGTGACAGAAGATTCTGTTGGCCCTCTCAGTTAAAATCACACAAGTGTGTTGGAGGTCAGGCTCCAGAGCTTCATCAAAACCAAACTGAGGAGAAAAGAGATGCAGAAACTGGAGCTGATGGAGAGGACTGTGGAGGACCAGAACCAGAGAGGAACTCGGATCCAGAGAGACATTTACAACCGGAGATTGAGGTCAAGACTGAAGACTCTTCAGAACCCGATGACTGTGTTCACGGTGTTTTTTTGAATGAGACTATAGTACTCCCATCAGATTTACACTCTGAGGAAAATATTAAAGACCAGAGGCCACTGACTGATAAGAAACCACATAGCTGCTCTGATTGTGATAAAACATTCCAAAAAAAATATTATCTGACCAGGCACATAAGAATTCACAGAGGAGATAAACCCTTCAGCTGCTCTGACTGTGATAAAAGGTTTAACCAAAAAGAGCATCTGACCAGGCACATGTTTGTTCACAGTAAAGCAAAACCTTTCATCTGCTCTATTTGCTATAAAAGATTTAACCAAAAGTCTAGTTTGACACGTCATAGAAAACTCCACTGGGGAGAGAAACTCCACTGCTGCAGTGCATGTGGCCAAAATTTTTCCTGGTATTATCAGTTAAAGAAACACAAGTGTGTTGGAGGTCAGGCTTTAGAGTTTAATCAAAACAAAACTGAGGATAAAAGAGAGGCAGAAACAGGAGCTGGTGGAGGAGCAGAACCAGAGAGACGTTTACAACCAGAGATTGAGGTCAAGATTGAAGAATCTTCTGAAGCTGAGACTCAGGACAGTTATGATTGGATGGAAATCAGTGAACATCTTTCAGGTTTAAACTCTGTGAAAAACATTAAAAATAATAGACCCAAGAATGAAAAGAAGTCACATAGCTGCTCTGAGTGTGGTAAAACATTCAAAAAGAATAGAGATCTGACCCAGCATATAAGAATTCACACAGGAGAGAAACCTTTCAGCTGCTCTGACTGTGGTAAAAGGTTTAATCATAAATGGAATTTGACTACCCACATATTAGTTCACACAGGAGAAAAACCCTTTAACTGTTCTGTTTGCAGTAAAAGATTTAAACATAAGTCTAGTCTGACACTTCACATGGCACATCACAGAGGAGAGAAACCCTACAGCTGCTGCATCTGTATCCAAAGTTTTTCATGGCTTAAACAGTTAAAGACACACAAGTGTGTTGGAGGTCAAGTGTCAGTGTTTCATCAAAACCAAACTGAGGAGAAAAGAGAGGCAGAAATAGGAGTTGATGGAGAGGACTGTGGAGGAGCAGAACCAGAGAGGGACTCAGATCCAGAGAGACATTTACAACCAGAGACTGAGGTCAAGATTGAAGACTCTTGGCGAGCTGGTTTAGCTCAGTTGGAAGAGCAGGTCCCCCTTGTACAGAGGTCACAGTCCCTAATGCAAGTTCAACTCCCAGTTCTGATGCTATTTGGTGCCTGTCATCCCCCAATCTCTGTCCCAACAGTTCCCGTATCCCTCAAGCTGTCCCATCTAACAATGGCAAGAAGTCCAAAATTTAAAAAAAGTGAAAAGACTGAAGATTCTACTGAACCAGGGAGTGAAAACAGTGGTAATTGGCAAGAGACAGCTGGATATCAGTCAGGTGTAAACTCTGTGAAATGCATTACAAATAAGAGACTGAAGACTCATAAAAAATCGCATAGCTGCTCTGAGTGCCAAAAAACATTCAAAACAAGACAAGATCTGACCAGACACATTCAAATTCATACAGGAGAGAAACCCTTCAGCTGCTCTATTTGCGGTAAAAGATTTTACCAAAAATGGAATCTGACCTCACACATGCTAGTTCACACAGGAGAAAAACCCTTTAGCTGCTCTGTTTGCAGTAAAAGATTTATCTTAAAAGGAAATCTTACCAAACACATGATTATTCACACAGGGGAGAAACCCTTTAGCTGTTCTGAGTGTGGTAAAAGATTTTACCAACAAGGAAATCTGACTTCACACATGCTTATTCATATGGGAGTGAAACCCTTCAGCTGCTCTGAGTGTGGGAAAGAATTTCGAGGGAAAGGGAATCTGAACAGACACATTAAAGCTCACACTGGGGAGAAAGCCTGACTTGTCACAGAGGAGAGAAACCCTGCAGGTGTATTCATGACCAAAGATTCTCTTGGCCAAGTGTTATATAAAAAAGTGGAGCTGATCGAGAGGACTTTGGTGGACCAGAACAAGCCTTGAACTCGGATCTAGAGAGACATTTACAACCAGAGACTGAGGTCAAGATGCAACACTTCAACGCAACCCTCAGCTGCTCTGAGAATGGTAATAAACATAGCTGGAGTTCCCATCTGAAGAGACACAAAAACTTACACAGGAGAGAAACCATTTAGTGTCTGTTTGCTGGGAACAATTACTTTAATATACAATACTTAAATAAAGATTAATTTTCATTCATTTCCTTTCTACTACCAATCGTTATAACTAGTAATTAGTACTAGTTGGTATTGGTTTCAAAATATATTATAGTAGCAGAAAAACTTTGATCACTGATTGTATTAACTGTAGCTAATTTCACACTCTGCCAGAACCACAGTGTTTCTGGCAGAAACACTCGTTGCACAATAACTTAGATGACATCTGTTATTTTTATTTTTATTTATTTTGGGCTTTTCGTGCCTTTAAATGCAGAGAGAGGACGGTGGATAGAGTTGGAAACCAGGGAGAGAGAGCGGGGAATGACATGCAGAAAGGGGCCACGGGTGGAGGCGAACCCGGGCCTACCGCTCGAGACGAGAGTCTCAATACATGGGACGCACGCCCTAACCATTGCACCACCAGCGCCCCCCGACATCCATTATTTTTAAATAATAAATATTATGGTATCAGATCACATATCGAATGTTTGATGGTTTTGTATTATTTCAGGACTCATGACTTTACTCAGACACAACAATTGAACTCGCTCTCAAGCATTCGTAAGATGGGGCATGACAACTGACTTATTACAGGATATACACCGTGTTATTGTTTTTGTTTGTATTCAAAGCCTTGATCATTTTTCCAGTTTCGAGCAAAAGCTGACACGTGTGTTCACCTGCTTGATCGTTCAAAAGCATCTAGTCCCGCAATTTGTGTGTCACATTGATTCCAGTAATATTACCATGGGGTGTGGGAATGGCATACCGTTTTTATCAGTAGTGGGCTTGTTTTCAGATATGTTTATTAGTCATCTGCTAACTGCTCATTCTTCTAAATCCTAACCTCCACCAGAGCGGTGTTGAACATTTTGTTTATGATGATAAAAGTTCATCAGTCCTCTCTGGAGCGTTTCCTATGGATAGAAGTTTATGTCAACGGAAAGTGAATTTGAGTTTTCTATATGTGTATTTGAATTGCTCAACAGGCAATTGAATACACTTTTTTTTGAAACTATAGTCTTTTTTTCTCGCCCAAATACAATTCTCCAGATTCAGTGCACTTGACAAAGCCAACTTGACAAATTCCATTTCAACATTTTTGTGAACACGTACAGCTGGTTGGGCAGCGCGATGAAGGGCAGATTTACAGCACTCCTTTCTGACTAATCTACACCTTTTATTTGACATTGTGACTACATGGAGCCATATATGAATATTTCAAAAACATTTCTTTATTTCCATCATGGAAGAATGAATTACCATGGATTTCATGTTGCTAACTGTGAATGTTTAACTATGATGTGGGGGTTTAAAGTTATTTTTGGGCTTTTTGTCTCTATTGGATAGTGAAGCTGAAGGGAGAAAGGGAATTTTGGAAGCATGTATGCAGTAAAGGGCCGAGGTCTACAGCCTCTGTACATGGGGCGTGTGTCATAACTGTTAGGTCATCAGAGCTGTTGTAATGTTAGGCTAAATTAGCCTACTAGCTTGTGAAGATACAAAGAGTTTAAGGAGACACTTCACCCGTTGAAACATGAATCTGTATTGACATTGGGTCATATATGTAGTAGAAATGTGAAATACATTTTGAAGTTGGTGCCTTCTTGACAGAGAAAGGCAGAAAGTGTCTTTTTGGCTCATGTGGATCAAAGACACCAAATCCCAGAATGCACAGCACCGCAGGCCACTCCCACTGAAGATAGGTAACAGACATATTTACTTCAACACATAAGGCCGTTTCCTCAACTGATTGCGAAATTTCTTCCAGAAGGAATTGGTATCTTGTAAATTCCTGACAGAAAACAGACTCTATCCCTGCATCTCAGTTCTCTTAAATGCTGTCTCCTCGGTCCTCGCTCCTCGGCCGAACTGGAAGTAGTTCTAGACCCGTCATGTTAAGGAACGTCCCAGGGTGCGTTCAAATTGTCATTTTTGTTTAGGAAGGTTCCTAACTGAGTGAAATGAAACATTTAAGTGGCGTCCATGATAAGAGCCGTTCGAATTCTCTAAAAGCTAAGGAAAGGTGGGTCAATGCTTCCTTTATAACCTCCTTTAGCTTAGGATACACTGGGCCATCCTTTACCAAAGGAGATGAGTTATGACGCCCCACAATTCCTTGCAGCCACAACATTTAAAGCGAGTCGCGCATCCGACCGTTCACTTCCTCGTGGTGATTAGGATTATTTCACCGGTAAGAAGGCACAGGGGAAAGTTTTTTAGATTATCTTTTTGTAGTCCATCTTCTGAACATTGTAGTTTCAACACGGCAGACCCACGTCATTAACCTCCGCCGGCCCGTCGCATTTAGTTGCCTAGTGGAAATGTGTTCGGATTGTCAGAGCAACGAGATCTTGGCCCTTTCCAAATTGTCACAGTTTAGTGATGTGTAGTTCGTGAACGATTCGTTCAAAACAAACGAATCATCTGGGTGAACGAACTGAACTGAATCACTTACTGAAAAGAGTCGTTCATTTCTCAACTTCAGTTGCGCTCTCCTCTTTCCCGTCTCATGTCTCTCTCTCTCTAGACCGCGAGAGTCGCTCAAAGCCCGCCCTCCCTCTCCCTTTCATGTCAGTGATAAGTACTGACTGAACCAACAGGACGGAGTCGGTCGGGAGCTCTGTGTTGCTAAAGCCTGCCCCTACTTCTCCCTCTCATGTCTCGAAAATTGAGGAAGTAGCAAATATATTATTGCTTTTTATAGCTGCTGACAGTTTGCAAATGGCTTTTATATCCAACTCAATTTCACTCAGCTGACTGTTTTAACATCCACTAACGATCGTGTTTCAGTCAGTACTGTGTGTGTGTGTGTGTGTGTGTGTGTGTGTGTGTGTGTGTGTGTGTGTGTGTGTGTGTGTGTGTGTGTGTGTGTGTGTGTGTGTGTGTGTGTGTGTGTGTGTGTGTGTGTGTGTGTGTGTGTGTGTGTGTGTGTGTGTGTGTGTGTGTGTGTGTGTGTGTGTGTGTGTGTGTGTGTGTGTGTGTGTGTGTGTGTGTGTGTGACTGAGGCTGGTGACTCGCAGTCACTCGCAGTTCACTGAACAAACTGAGAGGAAGAGAGTGACTCGGAGGCAGAGCTCTCGTTCAGTTCGTTCACAAGAACTGCTTTTCCCATCACTATTACAGTTCAGTAGGCAGTACTTTTCAGTAGAGAGTTTCAGTATACTGAACTTTCGTGGTCATTCAGTATGCATTTTTTGGGTCCACCTCAGTATACTGAACATTTCAGTATGGATACTAACTTCCAGGTTTTATGCAGTATGGATCGGATGCGTGCGTTCAGGAAATGAATTGTATTTTACCACCCACAATGCTGTGAAAAATTAAACGTAAATCGTCACGTTCAAATCAAAACAAACGAACGTGGATTAATTGAATACATTTCCGACTGAAATCGCTACTTTTAATTAACAACAGAAAATAAAACAAATGTCTGCATTATTCTAAAACCTTTCCCCCTCTATCTAATGATTTCACTATTTTAATGCGTCTTTATTGGTTTATTTTACTTTATAGTCTGTATATTACTGTCTTTCATTTGTACTTTCCTTTATGTAGGCTACTGTATGTTATTTAGTTATTTAATCTTTTACTTGATTTACATTGTGATGTTGTTTTTTGTTTACCTGACTGTATATGAGCATTTCTCTTCTTGAATAAAGCTAAACAAAAAAAAAGAAAAAACGGGTGGATGAGGCCGGTTCGGGAAACGTAAATGACGCCACTTCCTTACTGAATGAATCAGACGAAGTAGGAACAAATATCTGCCTTCTGTGCGCGCCTACTGAATAGTAGGTTCTAAACAGTATACAGCACAGATAGTAGGTACTGCCTACTGTCTACTGACAGATTGAGTAGGTACTTGGCAATTCAGATACAGCCCACCTTTCCCTGTAGACTGTAAAAATAATGGACGGGACAAGCTCCCCGGTGGAGTGAAGCTTTTATTTTTAGAGCTCCCCCTGCTAACTGGCTGCAGTATAGGTCATTAACCCCGCCTCCTCAATGATAATAGATGGGATGTGGGTCAAACTGTGAAGCTAAAATACTCGTCACATAATTTTTTTCCAAACCTAAACTCTGCTGTGATCATTAGTTATTATCACCCTACATTGTGTTCAAGTGCTCATTTTTCTGTGAAGTTTGTTTTAAATAAGTTATTTGAGTTTGAAAAACAGGATTTTACGTCATATTTGACGATGATTGACAGCCGCCGATCTTGCGTAGCTGTCTTTGTGAATAGAAAAGTTACGAAGTGAAGGAAAGCTGAGACGCCATTGAACATTTCCACTCTGTCTCTCTTGGACTGACAGAATGAGTTGTTCTGCTGGTAAACACATCTAACCAACCTGTGGGATTTAAGGATATCTGTGTTAAAGATAAAGATAAACTTTATTGATCCCCCGTGGGGGAAATTTGTGCATTACAGCAGCTCCAGAAAACAGGAAATGGGAATATAATTATTAAAAATAAAAACAGAAGTTAAAAATCAAATCAAACATATTTACATCAGTTAAATAAAAAAATACAATCATGGAAAATTACACAGTAACTACATTGGAAAGAGTTATTGTTATTAAAAAAAACACATTGTGTAGCATTATTGATATGAGTCATGAGGTGGTGATGCTGTTAAAGAGTCTGATTAAACAGTCTTGACGGCAGATGGGATGAACGACCTGCGGTAGCGCTCTGTCTTGCAGGGTGGGTGTCTGAGTCTGCTGCTGAAAGAGCTGCTCAGGGCCCCCACAGTGTCATGCAGGGGGTGAGAGGGGTTAACTTGGTAAGTTGAAATGTTTGGCAATTGTTTGGCAATTCCATCTGAACGACCAGCTTATCCTGTGGATATTGGACTTTCTGACCAACAGATCACAGAGAGTTCTAGTCAACAACACCTTCTCCAACCTTCAACACACCTCAACTGGCTCCCCTCAGGGCTGCGTGCTCTCACCTCACAGCCAAACTGTCACCTGGTGAAATACGCAGACGACACAGTTCTCCTGTCTCTGCTGTCAGGCCCCTCTCAGCACCATGGACCAGTTCTTCAGGAGTTTGTGGAGTGGTATGACAGCTCCTGCCTCAAACTGAATGTGAGCAAGACCAAAGACATGGTGGTGACCTTCTCCAACAAGCAGAGGGAACTGGCTGCATCGGCAATCACCACAATCCATGGGAATCCTGTCGAACTAGCAGAGGAGTATAAGTACCTGGGTACCATCTTCGACTGCCTGCTGAAATTCGCCTCCAACACCGAGGAGATTCTCAGGAAATGTCAGCAGCGGAAATACCTCCTAAGGAA